TAGGACGTGGGCACTGAATGTGTCCCCAGCCGGCATTGTAATAACCGTCGATGGTTACATAGTTATACGCTGGAAGAGGAGATCGGATCGGAGGTCCGGATAGCGTAACTGGCAACGCATCTGCACGGTAAGCAGGAGTTGTGGGTTCGAGTCCCGCTCCGGGCCGATTTTTTCTCCCAGCGGTTCCAAATTATTTAAATTAATTAATATATTTATAATTATTAATTTTAATAAGAGATGGCGCCTAACGCTTACCTCTAGTGCCAAATTAATTACGTAATTTATTTAGAATTTAGCATTAAAATAGCCCGATTGATTTACGGCATTCGGTTGATGTCTTACTATATTGGATATCAGGTTTGGAGATGTCATTAAAAATTTTCCATGATACTTTTCACATCTATATTTACTGTTATAAATATGCATATATTAAATTCATTAGAAAATTCAGCAATTTAATATTATATATATTGCATTTATTGTTAATGAAAACTGAAATAAATTTTTAATACATATAGTCGTATCAGTAAAGATTATACAAAAACTAATTTATTTTATAAAATACTGAAACTTCTAAAATAAAGCATGTATTGAGTTTATGAATGTATAATTCTTTTACATTTGCAAAACTAAAACTTTAAACTTGTATGAAAAAACTTAAACATGTTCTTATATTAACCAAATAGCATTAAGATTACTTAATAATGTTTGAGCCTGTCTTTTCACTTTGCATTATTAAATATTACATAAATAACTTCTTCTAGGTAACAATTCTGTTTGATAATAAACTCTTTCGTGGAAATCGTACTAGTAAAATAAGTACTTCAAGTCTAAATTGTTTCAACTCTCCTAACATGAGACCTCTTGCTAAAATAGGTATTAGGATTCAAGGTATTGTCAAGCTATTCTTATTTAAATAATGTTGTAAATACTTATTTATATTTCATTAAATCTAAAATTTAAAAAAAGTTCTTTAATGTCTGAAAATGTTAAAACATTGAATATGTAAAAGAGCTATACTATACTAAAATCACTAAGACTTAATGTAAATTTACATAAATTGTATCAATGTGCCACTTATCAATAAGACAAACGCCAATTTCTTTGTGTCTTTGATATTAATACTAGTAAAAAACATTCGTGTATTTATTTTTAGATGTATTTTTACTTATTTAAATATAGTCTGTTTGTTACTTCATTCTTACTAGACTAAACAAAATATATTTAAGAATGAATTGACAAATATAATGTAATGTTGTAAAACTGTCTAAGAAAAAAAAACAAAAATTGCAATTTAAGTAAATCAATAATAGTGTGATTTTTGTGATAAATATTGTCTCAGAAATTGCAAGTCTTATGTAAGAAACTGATCCTAACATGCATTTGATGTGATAGTTTTTGCTATTTAGTGACATACATCAGATTTTTGAATAAATTATTAGATAATTTTGATTTTTAATTAAGTTCTAAATTAATTTGAAAAATGTAAATAAATATTTATTCGTATTTCCAAACTAATATTTAGATATGTCCTAAATTATCATTATTATTATTATTTTTACTGTACTCACTCATATAATATTTTGAGAAATTTGCTAATGTATTTCAGATAAATAGTGGTTTTCATTGTATATATATTTTTTGCAATAAAAATTTTTCAATTTCTATATTTTTGTCAAGCTATAAATATTGATTTTTCTTTTTACTGGGATAGATGACACACAAAAGCATTATTCATGTTGTTTTTTGTGATGAGAATTCAGATTCAAATTTTTGAATCCTCAGATTTTTTTTCTTATATTGTTCATTTAACATTAGATTTCTTATTTCCTTTATTGAAACTATAACTCATTTTAAGCCAGTAATTTACTATTGATATTTCTGGCTTGTACTGTTAATATTTTTTTCTCAATATTTTTCAGAACAGAAAGAAATAATATGATGAGAGTGAGTGAATTTTTCTTATTTTGTTTGAATACAAGTATTGTATTCTATTATTATTGATTGAATTAATTAATATACTTTAAATTTCATCATAATATGATAAGTTTTTGTTCTGTTTATTTTTTTTTCATTATGAAATAAATATTTTATTTTACTATTTATTTAAATATTGAAACTTATAATTGTTTATATATTCAAATTTTTATATTGTTAAAAGATATACAGTAGTTTGAAAGTACCAAATAATTTTATTGAAGGGCTCTAACTTAAAGTGACCATTTAGCCACTTTTTTGAGGACTCCTCAAAACAAATTTATGTCTCAACCTATTTTTGTCTTCAATTTCTATTTTATTTTGCATTCTAGGTTATATTTGTCATTATACAAATCAAGCATAACTAATATTTAGCATATTCATAACATCTTAACTAATACATAATGTGAGATCTGCCATTGGTCAGGCTCTATCAGATGGCCTATGTGAATAAATAATAATAACATAATTAATTAAATATTTTGCATTATTATTATTATTATATACAAATAAAAGAAAGAGCTTAAACAAATATCAATTTGTGCATTAAAAAAGTTATTTTAAAAGTAAAGAAACATGAAATTTAAAATAATTTAGATGAAGGTAGATAATAATCTATAATCATATTGTGAGATATTCAATAATTTTGTTATTGTTGTAAAGTAGATATAGGCTTGAAAAGCTTAAATTATCATTAGTTTTCATTAAAAATAGTGTTTCATACACACTAGAAATTCATTATAAATCAAACTTTTTTTTAATAATAAAATTTAAAAAACAATTAAAAATATATTTATTAATCTCATGCATAATAATATATGCATGAGCATCTGATATATGGTATAAATGCATCTGATAAAATTAATATTTAAAATAAAAAGTAATTTTTGTTTTAAGATAAATTTATTTCTTTATTATTTGGAAGTTTTTTAATTGATTTAAAAATAATTTATGCATATCTCAGTCATTTACTTTTTCATCACTATATTTAAAGATTTTTAAATAATCTAATTTAATTTAATAATTTTTCAGTTAAATATATTAATAATGTATTTTACATTGTGTGTTATAATAACCTGAACGATACATTATTTACTATTTTCAGTTGAAGAAAAGGATATTTATCGTTCACCAAAAATTAAAAGATTTAGAGTACACAGTACTTTAAACAGGAATGTTGGTTTGTTACGGTTATTTCCAAGTATAACTGTTGAAGTGGTAAGATTTTTACAGTATAATCATAAAATATAACATTTGTAATGAATATAAAATTAATATACAGATTTCAAAAAAGGTAAGGGCATTTATGAGTCCACCCATTGAAGGAGTGGTATTACAAACTTATGGTGCTGGAAATGGACCTACAGGTCGAACTGATATTTTGGAAGAAATTAAGAGTGCTACTAGTCGTGGTGTTATTATCGTTAACTGTACACAATGTAATACAGGAAAAGTGGATAATTCCTATGAAACGGGAAATGTAAGTTATAAGCTCAAAATACATTATATAGTTTCAAAAATTGTTACTTTGAACATACATGAATGGAAAATATAAGAACATTATTATAGCCAAATTTAATAATTAAATTATTAAATATAGACTAATCACACACCACAAATTTTTATTAACTAATGTAAATCTCAGTATGCATTTCAGCATTTATAATGGCTCTCCTTGCTAGTGTGTGAATTTTCTTCAAGAATTCTACAATAGATATGTTGACACTTATTCTGCTTCATCATAATATTATAAGTTTTTGTTCTATTTATTTATACCTTTGACATTAATTTGCTTTACTGACAATCAGCATTGATAACAATAATAGATGGTAAAGCAACTTAATGTCAAAGATGTATGGCAGAATAAGTGTCAACATATCCATTGTTGAGTTCTTGAGGAAAATTTATAAACTGGCTGAGGCAAGCCATTGTAAAGGCTGAAATGCATACAGATTTTTGTGGTGTGTGATTAGTCTATATCTAATGGTTATTATAGACAAATTTTATAATTATATTAAAATTATGTTATATATTTGTTTTTAAAATAAACATGCTTTGAATCAGATTATTTTATTATAATTTCAGATTTTGTTAGAATTAGGAGTTGTTCCAGGTTCAGACATGACTCCTGAAGCTGCCTTAACAAAACTCAGTTATGTTTTGAGTAAAAGTGAGTGGTCTTTAGAAACTAAAAGACAGGTATGATTCCAAAAATTACATCAGAAATCTTTTAAATTATGAGAAACAATACCAAGTTGTTTTAAAAATATAGTAATAACAAAAAATCTGCTTTATTGGAGTTCACTCTAACAACATTTTTCTCAAGTACTTTTTGGCAACCAATCTCATTGTAAGAGAGACATGAATCAGCTTGGTAGCTAAGTTACATAAGTTTATGTAACATCTAGAACCCCTATTTCCTCTACTAAGAAAATTATTTGACGCCTTCCATTCACCTATATATGCAACATGTCATACTCATCATTTAAGAACTATTTTTTCACATCAGCAAAAAAATAATAACTATNAATAGTTAACATAATAAATATATTTAAATTTTGTGAAAGTTTACTAAAGATATTAAACCTGTAAATAAATTATTATTGTTATTAAATGTCACAAAAAAATTATATATTACAGGCAGTGGAAATGAACAATGAAGAAATTGTTGAATTTTTATTAAAACATAAAGTAGACACTACTTGTACAGATATTTATGGAAGAACAGCATTGGACATTGCAAAAATTTTAAATCGACAAAATTTAATTCAGCTGCTTGAAAAAAATAATAAAGTTTCTCCTCTTGTAAATGGTATCTGAAATCAAACATTTGGAGCTTATAAAAATAAATAATTCCATATAAATTTCAATTGCACTTTCTAGACTAGATTTTACTACACAATATTTTAATAAGTTTATGTTTTAACAACACAGCTTAAATTCTTAATGATATAATTTTTAATTTCATCAATATAGAATATACAGTTTTTTATTTTTTGCAAAATTATATCTAGCATAAATAGGATATGTTAAAAAATGTAATGAAACGAAGGTTGTGAATCTCTGATCCTTCCATCTGGAAGAAAGGGAAGGAATATGTTCCATCCATCTAATTTTGTTTTATTTGTTAAAAATTATAGATTTATTATTTACAGTTTATTTATGGACCAGAAATAAAATACAGAACTTAAAAACAGATTTATTTAATATATTAGTTGATGTTGGATTTTATTTTTGATAAGTACCATCAATCAGTTGTAAAATTTTGTATTATATTTTAACATGTATTTAATAACTTGATGAAAGTGATTGCATGTTATGATTTAGAAATTTTTGTTATTAAATAATACTTTTTTCTTTAATTAGAAATGTAAAGTGTAAAGAAATAAAGAAAATATATATATGTACCAATGTGTTAGTATTTCATTGCTCTTAATTTTCATACTAACAAACCAGAAATTGTATAACTATTTTCATTTAAATTTTAATTTAAGTGAAAATAATTATGATTAAATTTAAAACGTTTTTATTCAATTCTTAATTAGGTAACAATTACCAATATAGTAGAACTTCATTTACCTGAGCTCTAGTCAACCAAGGTTCCAGATTATCTGAGGCAAGCCAATACACTACTTACAATTTATAAAAGCTTTGTCATGAATGTACCAAGTGTGTGACTTTTTTTAAACTTTCTGCCTCAGGGCAATAAGAGAACCTTTTTTTCCATTTCACTGCTAATTTGTCTAGATCCCACTATGAGGGCAGCCCAATTATATTTGCTGAGAAAAACATATCTACATTAAATAAAGACAGTTATTAAAGCCACATTAATTAAAATTTCTGCCATGTATAAAAAGGAACTGATGCAGGTGGTGAGAGATAGTGCTTGACACATCCAGGACACCTGTGAAAAGCAATACTGAAGAGACTGCAGAACATTGTAGGAAAGAAGGGAAGAACATCTGTAAAACAAAAAACTCTAAAAGACATTTTAAAAAGACTAAAATGATAGATAACATAAATCATTTTGTAATACTTGTTTTCTTTAATCATTTATATTAAAATGTGACTTCAATTATACACATTTTTAACTAAAATTTTTATTTGAAATTGATATCATTTTTAAAATTATATTTTAATTTTTCATGCCATATTTAAATTTTATAACTTTTATTTCAGGAAAAAGAAACTTTACGTAATGCTCTGTATCCTTCAATAGTGTGCAGTATTGCCGCTGCAAATAATTTAGAAAAACTAGAAGTCATGCAACAATTTGTAAGTTATTAATTTTTTAATGTTGTTTTATATACAGGATGCAGCACAATAATGTAACAGTTTTTTGCAAAATTATTGTGCAACACAAAATTGCACATGCAGTTTATTATCTCTTATTTCTTAAAAATAACATTTGTCAAGTAGTCTCCATGACAATGAATACATTCTTGCAATCTGAACTGGAAATTGCTCTTTGGACTCAACACAATAAAAGAGCATCAATGGCTCAAATTTTGTTAATGATGTTTTGTTCCAATGCCATGAAAGTGGCTGGTTTGTTAGCATATACTCTAGCCTTGAAGTATCCCCATAGAAAGTAATCAACAGCTGATAGATTAGGGGATCTTGGTGACCAGGTGACATCTTCAAATCAGGAAATGATGTGCCTGAAAAACATGATTTGCAAAAAGTTCATTGATTCATGAGCAGTGTTTGCTGTGGCACTATCTTGATCAATGCCCCACCACTGCCAACATTTCTTGGTATTGCTTAGCTGTGATGGTCACAGTGTTTTTACATTCCTGAAAAAATTATGGGCAAATTTTACCAAAGGCAGATACACCACACCAAGACCTCACTGTGCATTGGTTGTTCATGCAGAATAAATGAAGGATTTATGTCTGGTATGATTAATGCAGCCAAATGATGTCTAGCAGAGTGAATGAGACTCTGCTGTACTACTTACTGAACCCTCTTGGTATTCTCCAGAGTGCAGACTGTTAGTGAAGGACTGGTAAATTAATCTTGAACATTGTCAGTATTATCAAACCTTTACACCCACTTCAGTAAAGTGTTACAGAAAGTGCATTTTATGGTCCAAAGTTGGAGTTTGTTTTGAAAGATGCAATGGGTAGAGATTGGTAATGCAAAACATTGCAAGTTGATTTCATTTTACCAAAGCATCTGGAAGCTTTTTATGTAGGAGCAGATGGACAGAAGGATCACCCGAATTCATCCATGTCATATAACATTAAAAATACACCAAAATCTTTGGACCTGGATTATCAATTTGCATTCAATAAAAGCCTTTACAGCAAACACTCATTCATCCACTGATCAGTTTTCCATGTTGTTTGCAGAGACAATGCACTAACTGCACACTAGCAATCACAAAGTGCAACACATTTTTCCCACCACTCTGTGATGGTTCTCAAATACTGCTGTATGTATAAGCATTCTCATGCTGCACCCTGAACTATATGAACCTTTTGTTTTATATTTCCTAATGTTGCTTTATTGAAAATATAAAAATAAAATAATAGTAACTAAACTGTAATTCTGTATGTTTCAAATAAATTGTATTATTTTATTATTATTACATTTATTTTTAATATGAACTGATTTCTTAGTCATTTAGATTAGATAACTGCATATTTCTTCTGTTACATTTTGCAAGTTCATGCCTTATAGACATAGATTTTTTTATTGTTATTTTTGATTGAGTATCTGAGATGAGTCTGGGAGATTAAAGAATTTGGTACCTCCTTTTACTATAGAAACAAAAAATTCCTCTTATAATACCTGAATGCTTTGTAGGCATAAAAAGGAGTTTTTAGTCCTCATTTAAATTATACCTTGTCAACTTGAATTAGTTGAATAATTATAGATTCCCTTCTTTGGTTATAATGTAAAAATTTTAATTTTTGAATGATTCAGCTGGATTCTTTATCAGGCAACAATATGGCTAATTAATTTTGACACTAAATAATCTTAAAATTAATCTTGCAATACTTTTTCCCTAAAATATTTGTTTTGATATTAACAATTCTTGCTCTTTGCCAAACACCCAAATAACTTGCTCTCATAGCATATACTCTCATGCCAACTGATAGTTCTTTTCTTATTACTGGTCCTATTCCCGGAAGCACAGGTTTTTGGATTTCATACTGTCCTACAATATCTACATCTTTAACAAAATTCTTTGCAGAGTTATTGAGTGTATTAGAATGTTTCAGGCTTTTGATTTGTTGATTTGGGGCTAACTGAGCAAGGTTTGAATCAGCTCTCATTAGCTGAAGAGTAAATCTTGCCCTTGCTTGTTGTAGTGCATCTGATGTATTTCGTGAATTTTGAGATGAATATTGAATTTCTTCAAGTTTTCTTGTTGAAGTATCATCCTTCAACACTGAAATTAATATAGTACTCATAGCATATACTCTCAGTTGGCAAGAGAGTATATGCTATGAGAGCAAGTTATTTGGGTGTTTGGCAAAGAGCAAGAATTGTTAATATCTTAAAATTAGTCATATTGAATGATACAGCCAGTTGCTTTAACATATATTGGGTTGATTTTACATGTAATTAATAATTTTCTTTATCATTTCTGTATTTCTTCTAAGTGAGATTTTTATATTTTATTATTAAGATTTACCATAAACATAGCCTTGTGTGTGTGTGTTGTATCTAATACAAGTTAGACAACTTTTTATTTTATATATTACAGGGAGTCTATTTTTCAACTTGTGATTACAATCAGCGAACACCATTGCATGTTGCATCAATTCTGGGCCACACACGAGTGGTAGAGTACCTCCTGCACCATGGTGCCAATGTACATTTGAGAGATTTTGATCACAAAACTCCTTTACTCAATGCTATTGAACATGATCATCATGATATAATCAAATTATTAATACAAGCAGGTGCAAGCTTGAATTTACCTTCTGTAAATGTAGGTGATTTATTATGTAGGTAAGTTAAGAAAGTAAAAATAATTATGACTAATTTACCATCATAAAATAATTTTTTACAATTTGAGATCAATGATTTTCATGTAAATTTGAACTTTTTTTTTTATATGCTAGGGCTGTGAAGAAGAGCAGAATTCAGAGAATAGTGTCACTTTTATTAGCTGGTGCTAATATTAATGAGCGTGACTGTGGACAACGTACAGCATTACACATTGTATGTATTTATTAGAGTATCAGTATAAAAACTAATCATATGATGTAAAATAAGTTTTTGCCTATATTTTACTTTACAAAAGTAATTTTAATATATTAAATATTTTTCCATTTATAAAAAAGTAATAAAAATACAAACATTATAGCTCTGAAATCTTTTAAAACACAAGATGATATATAGTTTATTATTATTATTTCACTGCTTTATATAATTTTTATATGCATTACAATTTATTTTTGAAAAAATTTAAAATTCTGTTTTTTGGAAATTTAACACTGTTCTTAAAGTCATATTCCCAGTTGAAATATATTGTGAAACTGAAGACACTGCAAGAAAAAATGAAAAATATTTTCATTGAATTAAAGCAGTTATTTTAATAACATTTAGATTTTTTTACTGATTACATGTTTAAAATGTCAATTTTAAGTATTTAATTTTAAAAGTAGAAATAAAATCACTCTCTCTTATTTATTATATTTCAAGTTTTCTGGCTCTGGAGAATTTTTTCTATATATTATGAATTACTGAAATTTTTGAAATATTCAAAATTCATAATTAAGTGGAATATTGGTCAACGAACATAATCTGTTCCAAGACTGTGTTTGCTACCCAAATTGTTCGTTAACCAATTATCAATTTACCTTAGATTTTTATAGGAATTTGATTAATTCATTATGGAGACCTCAAAAAATAAAAATATATACTTTCTTACTATGTTTATTTATTTATATGTAATAATAAAAATACATATATACACAGTCTTGCATTTTTATCAGTCATGTTTTTTTCTGTTTGGACAGATTCTTTAATGCTCCACAATGTCGATTGCTTTTTTCTCTTCTTCAGGATTTTTCAAGTAATTAATAGCATTGTGGTTGTAGAGTTCCCTAAGCCTCAACATGGGTTTGGAAGCCATTCTAAGACTGTTGTCCTGACATACTCCCACTTCAAAAGACCTTTAATAGCAGATATTGGCAATAATCCTCTTTTTCAGAAGAAAACATATCTCGCTGAGTTTCTTGTTGTTCTTCATTCAAGAGTTCTTGGCGTTCTTCTGTTGTTAGATCAGTTTCAGGTTCCATTATGAGCTCTTCAATCTTCTTTACTTCTCAGATATGATTTTTGTTACTCCTTTAGCTGCTTGAGTCTTCTTGATTATACTGTATCTTTCCTAGATGAGATTGTATCTACTGTAGACCTGTTCAAGCCATACTGCCCAGCAACATCGGACATCTTCTGTCCACTTTCTATCTTTGCTATTATACTCTCACTTTTAAAAATAAAAACCAATGCAAAATGTAATGAGTGCCTGCCTGACAGTCTTGCAAATACTATAAAAAAATTCTTTCTGTCGGAAAAATAAACAAAAGGCTGGAATTACAGGGGAGCATTTCAAAGTTCAGAGAAATATTATTTGATCAGTATATACCAGGTTGGACGTTGATGTTGACATTTCCCACACTCTGAAAGGTTTCGAATTGTTACCTGGAGACAAGGGAAGACCAATTGGTATTCATTATTTTAAGTCACTACTTCTTGTGTTTGTTCTGTGAGGTTATCCATGTATTTCCATCATTATCCAAACATGTATTTGTTGTCCAAACATAAAAATCTTTTGCAAAAGTGTTCATAGTCCGAACTGTTTGTTAACTGATCATCCACTGTATTCTAATTCTGAAATGATTAAGTTAGAAAATTTAGGATAAAATTCTCAAAATCCATCACTTTTAACTTTTCAATCAGGATTTAATTCTATTAAAGATAATGGGCAAAAATCATTTAAACCTTAGTTCTTTGATATAAGTTATGTTTAGTGATAATTATGTGTATTATGTTTGGTTATATGTATTGTGTTTACTTCATATCAATTTAGGAGTTCTAGTTCATAAATGTATTATAATTTTTTAACAATATATTGTTTGAAAAGTCATTGGACAAGACCTACATCTGAATAAAGATTGCTTGTGATAGTTCACTTAGCCACTTGTAGATGACTCTACAATATTGAGAAACGTATGGTATTAGTTAGAAACTCATGTTAGTTTCTATTCACGTATTAGGAATGTTGCTCTGTGATTACCATGTCTTTAGCTCACTCAAAACAAGCTCACAAAGGAAAAAATACAGCTTTGGACAGGAGGTGAAAGAAACTTTTGGGTCTTGGCTAAAAAGTCTGCCATTAAATTTCTATTGTAAAGATATCAATAAGCTGGTGTATTTTACATGATGCCTAGCTGAACTGCTGTGGTTACAGTGAAATAAATATCTTTTTGATTATATATATGACTAGTCCAATGACTTTCCAAACAATCCTTGTTTGGAAAAACTATTAAATTGATGTATTCTGAAATTTAGTTTATTTTCAAACATAAATATATAAAATAGTTAACATAATAAATATATTTAAATTTTGTGAAAGTTTACTAAAGATATTAAACCTGTAAATAAATTATTATTGTTATTAAATGTCACAAAAAAATTATATATTACAGGCAGTGGAAATGAACAATGAAGAAATTGTTGAATTTTTATTAAAACATAAAGTAGACACTACTTGTACAGATATTTATGGAAGAACAGCATTGGACATTGCAAAAATTTTAAATCGACAAAATTTAATTCAGCTGCTTGAAAAAAATAATAAAGTTTCTCCTCTTGTAAATGGTATCTGAAATCAAACATTTGGAGCTTATAAAAATAAATAATTCCATATAAATTTCAATTGCACTTTCTAGACTAGATTTTACTACACAATATTTTAATAAGTTTATGTTTTAACAACACAGCTTAAATTCTTAATGATATAATTTTTAATTTCATCAATATAGAATATACAGTTTTTTATTTTTTGCAAAATTATATCTAGCATAAATAGGATATGTTAAAAAATGTAATGAAACGAAGGTTGTGAATCTCTGATCCTTCCATCTGGAAGAAAGGGAAGGAATATGTTCCATCCATCTAATTTTGTTTTATTTGTTAAAAATTATAGATTTATTATTTACAGTTTATTTATGGACCAGAAATAAAATACAGAACTTAAAAACAGATTTATTTAATATATTAGTTGATGTTGGATTTTATTTTTGATAAGTACCATCAATCAGTTGTAAAATTTTGTATTATATTTTAACATGTATTTAATAACTTGATGAAAGTGATTGCATGTTATGATTTAGAAATTTTTGTTATTAAATAATACTTTTTTCTTTAATTAGAAATGTAAAGTGTAAAGAAATAAAGAAAATATATATATGTACCAATGTGTTAGTATTTCATTGCTCTTAATTTTCATACTAACAAACCAGAAATTGTATAACTATTTTCATTTAAATTTTAATTTAAGTGAAAATAATTATGATTAAATTTAAAACGTTTTTATTCAATTCTTAATTAGGTAACAATTACCAATATAGTAGAACTTCATTTACCTGAGCTCTAGTCAACCAAGGTTCCAGATTATCTGAGGCAAGCCAATACACTACTTACAATTTATAAAAGCTTTGTCATGAATGTACCAAGTGTGTGACTTTTTTTAAACTTTCTGCCTCAGGGCAATAAGAGAACCTTTTTTTCCATTTCACTGCTAATTTGTCTAGATCCCACTATGAGGGCAGCCCAATTATATTTGCTGAGAAAAACATATCTACATTAAATAAAGACAGTTATTAAAGCCACATTAATTAAAATTTCTGCCATGTATAAAAAGGAACTGATGCAATTAATTTTGCACATTAATCAAATTCCATATTAAGCAAAACCTCATTAGGCAAGGGATAGCTGTGCACTCCTCAATATCCTGCTCGTCTATATCTCCTAGTCCTGCTATATCGATTAGGTTGACAATTTTGTCAACCTAATGATACAGCGACAGGCTCTTCTCGTTGAGAATTCTTGGATACCTTCAGCCATAACTTCTTCCACACTTCGTTCGTGCATTTATCAGTTAATTCTTGGCAAGCGAAGTCGATGTTTCCTATGGCATCCATTATGTTATATTTTTTCCAAAATTGCACCAAACAAACATAGATTTAAAGAAAGTATACCTTTTTGCCATCTTTTGCTGATTGGTTTGTGTTTGCAAATAATTGTATTTTATACGAATCAATGAAATGCCGTGGTAATTTAAATCAGCGTAAATTTTGAGCTTTTTTAAGACTTCGAGCAGACTGCGTTATATTGAATCAGTGTTAAGCGGGGTCTTACTGTACTTGGCAAGAGCAGGCCACAGATTAGAGAGAGAGACAGATGGTTGACTCACTATACTTCTCACATTGATTGGGCCATCAACTTTCTTTAATCACAGTACATACAAAAATATGGTACAACACAACTTGTTCCTCTGCAGTTGTTAAGAGAAATCTTAGTTTGACATTGAATGCAAGATATCAACTAAAACTCTTCCTATTTCAGAGACATTAAAATGCTATTTTTAAAATAAAGACCTGTTATTAAAGCATGGAAGTTATTACGAGGTTATTACTAAATTTATATTGTATTAGATATGAAGAGACAGGACATATATTCTGGACTATTTATTGCTTATTCTAACAAAACAACATATGTTTTACAGAGCCAATTCTTTTATTCAAGTTGGCATTAAATATTCCAGTACAATTTAACAATTTTTTGTAAATACAATAGGGTCTTATTCTATACTGGACTGATATATGCAGATTAGTTTTTTGTAGATGGCTAATGGTTAGATTAAAAATCTGATTTTTGGTTTAAAATACACAAGTAAAATAAGTGCAGCCTGAATTGAGAATTAAGATTCTTTAATGTTCTGATTGGTTCTAGTCTAAGAGTTGGTTATAGAACTATTAATCTGTGCACCAATGAAGAATTTGAGGATCTAGCTGCCAAAATGTAGACTATTAATATAGATCCTGGTGAAATAAAGCTGGTGGTTCAGGCACTGAAAGCCCTCAAGAAAATTTTGAAATTTGACCAATTACAGGGACATTTTGAGGCCTTATGAAATGAGAATTAATATTGACTTTAAAATATGCCTTAGTACTAGTACTTTAACCTATTGGCTTATGACCTTATCACTAAAATAATCTTATTTTAATAAAAAAACACTTAAAAAAGTTCCATTGATTGTTGAAAAACAACTCATTAGAACAAAGCTGCTTCAGGACCTCTCCAGGGGTCGTGAAGCTTAAGCTTCATTAGTTTCTTAGTCAGGGCCAGATTTGAGGCAATTGGAGCGATTTGTGCCAGTTGGGCCCGCACTTGAAGGTACCCCGCAGGACATCAAAATTTATATATTTAAAAATAGTTTAAAATTACGGAATGGATTAAACAGTTTAGCGATAATATTGATTGAGAGTTAAGAAGCAAGCCAGTTGGATTTTGATACTATTTTAGAAGATTTTACAGAACAAAAACTTCAGAACATATAAAACATCTCTTTATAGGTTTATATTCAATAAAATTCAGTTATATTCATTCATCAACACATTAGAAAATTTTTCATGGCAAAAATTTATGTAGTTATATTCATTTAAAAATATAGAAATACTAAAACATATCTATGTATGTTTATATTCAATAAAATGTAGTTGTATTTGTATTTGGTACAGGTTTTTTAATGTAGAAATTTGTCTACCTTATGGTTCATGACTTTTGATTTTTATAATTAGATTTTGGATTTTGTTTTAAATAAATATTTAAAATCTATATTTCAATATGTAAATTAACTGTTAATTAATTTTGTTATTTAAAGTTTGAGGGGCCCCACAAAAAAAATTGAATTGGGCCTTGCACCTATTGCATCCGGCCCTGTTCATAGTAGATTTGCCATTGCTTGGAGTGGCGCACAAATATAGATTTTTGTTTCATACAATACTTATAACACATTTCCTGTGTGAAACAAAATTATACTGTATTTTTATTAATAAATGTGCTGTCAATTATGAAGCTAATAACAGTACTGTAATACTTTTAGTAAAAACTGCATTGAAACAAATGGCAAAACGCAAACTTAACAAGTGAATTAAATTTTTAATGAAGTATTTACCAAGATTTCCGATATTGAACGTTTATTTGCCATTGATTTATTTAATGTTTTGCTGGAATGAACTTCCAAAAATTTGACTTTTTTGGATTTGAAAATAAATGATATATAGAGGAAATCCTCGTTAATTCAAACTCAGATAGTTCAAAATCCCATTAGTTCATAACTACTTTTGTCCCAGCCGGGGATATAGAGATAAGGAATTTGGTTAGTTCAAAATACAGCTACTTCATAATTCAAAGTGAAAATTCTATCCAAACTGTGATATGCATGTTAACTCATTCATTTAGATCAAAGTGCCTCCATGCTATAAGAAAACAATAGACCAAGAACAACTCTAATCTGGTCAATATGATTTTGCTTTTACAATAACACATTTTTGGGTGTCACCTTACATATGGACGATCCCATTTTTTTCTTACTGTATTTCATAAAATATGGTTGGATTTCAGGATTGCAAGATTGGACTAAAAGTAGCAGACTGAGATACAGTATTTGCAGGACTCTAGGCTATTAGTTTTGGACCACTTTTAAAATAACTTGGGTTACATTTCAAGGAATTTTACTTTACTTTTCTACTTTACTAGCAACCTGTGAGATTCTCACCAACATTTGTTGCTTACCTGAAGTTTCTTTATATTATTATTATTAATTAATGAAAATAGCATTCTGTATACATAGCTGTATTCTGTTTGCTTAATAAATTACATCAGCTACATGGCATTTGGCATATTATACAGAAATATGTAAATCTCGGATAATTCAAAGTCATATTTTCATCCTCTGAATTTTGAATTAACAAGGATTTCCTGTATTAATTAATCTACATTAATTTGCATTTATATATTATTAGAAAATTTTGTTTTTGTATTTTTATGTTATTTCATAAATTAATCATTTTCCAAACAACATTTATTGTACAGGATAATTATAGTTAAAGTTCCACTTTGAAATGGCCATAAAATGAAAAATACTGGACAGAATGTTATCAAACTTGACATCATGGGATTTTATTTCCTGTAAAAAAGATAGTTCAAAAAGTCATCAGCTACGGAAAATGCAATATACGCTGTCTGCAATATTGTTAAACAAAATAAGACATGAAGACATCTTTGAAAACGTTTTTAATCAGTTTTAAAACGCGTTACAGAGCATGCTTAATGTGGCGTCCACCATTTTCTGAAAGCAAGTTAAATTCCTCCTGATAAGCTATGAGCTACTGTTGAGAACACAGTAATGTGATTTAACTTACTTATCAAAAATGGTGGACACCACATTGAACATGCTCTGTAACGCGTTTTAAAACTGATTAAAAACATTTTCAACGATGTCTTCATGTCTTATTTTGTTTAACAATATTGCAGACAGTGCCATTTCCCATAGCTGGTGAGTTTTTGAACTTTTTTTTTGTGGGAAATAAAATCTCATGATATCCTGTACACTATTACCAAGTTTGATAACATTCTGTCCAGTATTTTTCATTTTATGGCCATTTCAAAGTGGAACTTTAATTATAACACCCTGTATATCAAAACTATGTTATTGGATAATTCATTTACTAATAATTAGCTGCAACCTGTCAAAATGAAACCCAACAATTTTAATCTAGGTTATATCATTGGAAGTGATTTATTTTCTTGAATATAAATTTAATAATAATTTTTGAATTTCAAATCACTTTAAAAAAATCTGTTAAATGTTAATGGTTTCATTCTCTATCAGCTATCATAAGAAGCTTTGATATAATTTAAATTATAGAAAATGGAATCTTTCCAAACCTATTCTAAATTTTGCAGAATGTTTTGAAATTGCTTGTTGTTAGCCATCTTTTGAAATGTTCCTATCATAAAAATGTATTCAAGTTAAACTTTTAATACTGTTATCAGTTGCAGATTTATATATAGCAGATGATATGTTTATGATGAATCTGCAATCAATAATAGCATCATTTAAATGTGCAACACATGCTCATTTTTATTGTTCAGAATTTTAAAAACTTTACTCCATAATTAGTTAATTAATTCATAAACATTGAAATATGTATGCAATATGGCTATCATCATAAAAATTGAGCAAATCAGTTGCACACAATCTTTTGTCAACAAAATAAAACAATAAATTGGACAAATAATAAAATTCATAATTTCATAAAAATTTAATCATGTAAAATATCTTATCATTTTATAGCAATAATATGAAATGCTATACATTCTTGATTTAACAAATTCAGAAGAAATTTATTTTTGTTTTTTAAATTATTCTTTTTCACAAAAGTTCATAATTATACAGGTGTCCCAAAACTTTCCATACATACAAAGGTGAAATATAACTTTATTCACAAAACATGAAAATGTCATCATTAATGTCAGATTTGTGTCAGTGGATTGACAGAGTAAGGAAGTGGGTGATCTGCCAATGGGGAAACTCCTAGCAGGACTTTGTATGTGGAAACTGGATTCTGTTTAGGTGTTAGACACAAAGAAAATTCAGAACATGGTGGCCACCCCATTGGTCAGGCATGAACCAATGACCAACTACCAGTGTTCAATGGTTTTATTTATTCGGCCACTGGTGGGCTTGATTTGTGTCAATGTATAGAGACTTTTGGGACACCCTGTATATAATACAACTAACACAAAATAGATTTATTCAGATACTGTAAATCTGAAAGCAGTCAAATCTTTTATGTTCTGGATAAAAATTTCAGAAATTACATAAACTTTTCATTCGGTTTGCTTATCAAACTCTAGAATTCATAGATTATCAGATATAATCAAAATTAGTCATATAACTTTCATGTTATTTCAATAAAGAACAAAAATTAAGTAAATTTTAAAATAAAAAAAAATGTAATTTTCAATATTTTTTTGTGGATTGAAATGCAAATTTTCAAAATCTCACAACAGAGACTTTGAAAGACTTTTATGATCCATCTCTCATATTTTTCAAAAATAAAAAATTATATTTGTTTCATAACTCCTTTATTTAGAACAGAGATGTTTTATGTGCAAATTAATGAAATACAACATACAAATCATGATAAATAATAAAACATGACATATTTAAAAATTTGGACATCAAAATCTTCCATGTACAGTACAATACATTCATAAATTATACAAAAATTACATTAGAAGGTATGACAAGAACTATCTTAAATAATATGTGAGACAATAACAACATTATAAAAATAATGAATATTTATCATCAAGAAGCTTAGACATATTTTTGATTCTTGATTTAGTCATTTTCAAGCAAACGGAATAAACGTGTGGCAAAGTCATGTAACCTTAAAAAATAACGCATTTAAAAATTCAAATTAGAAAAGCTAAAAATACAATGTAATGAAAAATACATTTGCTTCTTAAACATTTTTTACAATACATTTATCTGTTAATTAATGTCGTTACTATCTTATATTAGTCAAGGTTATTATGAATTAAGTTGAATGATTCTCCACAGCACATACATACAGATATATGAAATAGAAATTCTGAAAAAGTATATTCAGAAATTTATTTAAAATCATAACAAAAATCATAATTAGATGGTTCTTTAGGTATTTCTGGTGGATTTTCTGGAATATCAACTCCTTCAGTATCTAATAATCTCAACTTAATGTCCATGCTGAGCAATGTTTCTAAGTCATTCTTTGTTTCTTTGCTAACCATTTTGTTTCCAAGAAGAGCATTAATCCCATCTGTCCAATAATCAAACCCTTTATCATTTGATGCAACAAAATTCAATGGTTCTTGATCTGAATCTGGAATCAATGAAAATGCTAAGGAAAGAGTGGATTTGGTTCGTTTTACATCCTTCATGTGAGGACATTCTTTTCCAGTAACTAAATTTTTAATTTCAACAACTTGTAACTTGTGAGGAAGTTCTTCTAATGATGGTATTATATTTTCATCACAATCACCATAATGAAAAACTTTGTGATTTGGTGATAATCTACAATACCAAAATTTATCCTTAATTCGTTGACCTTTATTTGAATATTTGGTGAACATAGTTCCTTCACAAAGAAATCGTAATCTCTGTTGCTGAATGAGATCCATAATTTCTGGAGTAATTTGTTCCCTTAATTCAACAATTGGGCGAGCCTGTGATTCCCATTCTTCTCGATTTGATCGTTCCTGTTGCCACAAATTAGTTATTTCACTATAAGTGAGAGTTGCCAATTTACTTTTAAACTTTTCTAAAGTCAATGGTGGTGGATCTGTACTTAATGCTCTTGTTATTTGTTCTTTAACAACACTAATTACTTTTCCAAAATCTTCTGTAGTAGCTCTCATTTCTTTCCAAGTTTTATTTAACAGAACAATACATATACAGAAAAATTCCTCAAAGGGATGATCATGTGTAAAGAACATTGGATAAAATATTTTGCCCTGTTCTGTTGGTGGTTCTCCTATTTTCAAAATATCACAAAGTAATTTTGTTAATTCAATACTAGTTCGACCAAATGGACATTCGTGTTCATCTGCCCTACAAGAATTTTCTAAAACAACTTTGGTATAATTTTCTGTGTGGTTGCGAGCAAAATAAATCATATTATCAAGAGCCAACATTCCAGGAGGTATTTCTGTAAAATCTTCGGCTGGATTAACATGATTTTTAAATCCAAGTTTCTTATAATCTTTAGAATATCCGCCTCCTTTCCGTCCTGCAGAATTCGTAGCATCGTTATCGGTATCAAAAGCAATTTTTCTCAACTCTAAGATTCTTTCTCTAGCTTCTGGTTCTTGAGGATCAAGTTTGGTGTTCATTCTCTCTTCTAGCAAATTTAATAGTAATGTCTGCAAAACATACAACTGATGAGCCATTTCTGCACCAACATGTTGAACTTGGATAATATTAGTCAATATAACATTCCTGATATGACGGGAAGAAAGTGTTCCGGCAATACCTTTCCTTTTGGCAGTTTCAGATTTTAAAAACAGCGCATTAATCAATGCAATCGCATTCTGCTGTATTTCCGGAATGGGCGACTGTAGATGCATGATCAAATTAGGAAGCGTAACTTCTTGCTCGACAAGTGGATATTTTCCCGAACTATTCAGCACGAGAGATTCCAAAATAGCCAAGGAAGCTTGCAACGATCTGGTTTCCTGAGCAGCACTCTGACTATTAACTTGATTTGCAACTCTTCCAATAAACTTCGGTTCTAAAATGTCCCAGGATACGATTCCGTGGTCCATAAGTTCCACAAAAGATTGAAGAGTGTAAGCCAAGTGTTCTCCCGTATATCCACCTCCTTCGACCATAGAAACCAAAAGGGCCAATCCTTGTTTGTTTATAAACTCTAAAGCAAAAGTATAATCAGCTGAAAGCCTGGAGAGTTTATGAAGCGCTAATCGTTTCTCGTCGACTGTACCATAGTTTAACTTTTCTAGGATCTCCTGTGCCGTTTTAGTCGGAGAAAAAGTCAGTCTCAAGACACTTCCATTTTTTATTTCGTTTCGATTTTTCTCTGTAATATAATTATGTGCGTTATCGGAAAACTGTAAAGCGTATTGTTCCGAGTCGGGTTTTTCCCATGCGGTACACAGATCCTGAATAATTGCCGCTAAAGGCCTTTTCTGATCGAATTCGATCAGCTGAGGAACTTGACTGTCCATCTCCACCGCGATCTTCACGATATTACTATCTTTAACACTCGGCATGTTTCTTTAGTTAATAAACTGATACAGCGTGTAAAAAACAACAAAAAGAAAACAGTTCAATAAATAAGATTAATTCAAACCTTTCGATTCCTTCCCGTTTGCTATAACATCATCACCTCCCTACAAAGTCATGCATCCTTTCAGTAAAGAACGACCAATTACGGGATCGCTAACGTCTGACGATAAGTGTTATGCGTAACACGATTGGTCGAGTGGTGGTGACGTAAGTATTGGAGTAGTGACGTAAGGAAGGATACGATAAAGTCGAGAAGGGTTGCATTTATAGGTAAAAAAATTCATATTTTTTAATGGCGTAAAGCAATTTTATGAATTTTATATTTTTATAATCATCAATATCTCTCAGTATCATTCATTAATCCTTCTTAGAAAGTGTGATGATTGCAAAATATCATATTGAATGCTTCAATGCTTAAGCCTATCTGTAAACTTTGAATAAAAAGTTAACATTAACTCATAAAATTATAAAATATCAATTTTTAGACGACATCACATAACAAAAAATAAAGGTAATTATTTCTAAGCAGTACTGTACATTAACTCTTTCTCTCTTAATTTTATTTACTAATCAGACATTTCCAAAACATAGAATTTTTGAGTACTCAGCCATATAAAAAGTGCCATAACTTTTTATATGGTTAAGTTAAATTAAAAATTAAGAGAGAAAGAGTTAATAGAGAGGTTGTGGCCAAAGTTTTCATCTCTAAAACATGAATCCTGTAAGCCTAGAAGTTTGACAATGGCGTTTAGAATGCCATTGGAATCATGCTCGATGTTCCAAATGCCATTGTCAAACTTCTAGGCTTACAGAATGGCGGCACTCAACGTCCGACATTCATGTTTTAGAGATGAAAACTTTGGCCGCAACCTATCTAATGGCTGCATACGGCAGACTCAACAGTTCTATAGCTGTTGAGTATTTTTCTCTCTACAGTAGCATCGTTTTGGAACATGTTTGGTATTTTGACATCACATTTAGTAGTGTCTTTCATTTACGCTACCAATCGCTACTCAAAACTGACCAAAGATGTCTGTTTTTTGTTCCAACACATAAGTCACTCATCATTCTGCAGATGTAACTACATAACAGCTATCAATTGAAACACCTTTGCTCAGTTACAACTGTTGACTCTGCTGAATGCAGCCAATATATTACTTAGAAATAATTACTGTACCATAAAATGATTTTATTGATAGAATTTGTATCTAAAGTAAATTTTCATATATTAATTTTGGAAATTTTTAAACAAAGCCTGTTAAGAACATTACAAGAATCAGACATTTAAATGGGTTGCAATTTGAAAAAATTGTGGACCTATAAATTCCCACTGTCATCCATCCATCTGTCCTTCCTTAATCTCGAGAATGGTGTTATATAGATGAAAATCGAGACCTGATATGGAAAGGGCGGGAGTCCCGATTAGTTATATACGAACTTCCAGTCTAGGTTGGAAGTCACATGATTTCAATTAAAAATTTCCCCAGAACAGAGTTACATAAATGACTGGCATGACTCTGTTAACAGGAAAAGTACAGGGGCAAAACACTACTAATTTGAGATGGAAAATATATATTTAATTCATAATAAATTTAGAACTGTCATTTGATTTAATATAGATAATTTACCAAAAGTCTTACTCATTAGTATAGAAGTTGAAATGCTGTCTTAAACATTTTCAGAGTTACCTTAATTTCTCATCAGAAAAACAAAAAACAAAAAAAAATTATATTTACACACCTCACATTTCCAGCAACAAATGGCTTTAATAACTGGCACTAACATTTTCAATTATTTTAAATGATCATCTTCAGATGAACTTGGAATTACAAATTGTTGTTGGAAATATGCTGCTGGAAGGTGTGTGGATATATTTTTTTAATTAATTCCAGTTTTGCTGCTTGATAACAAAAGTTATTTAATGAGAATGAATTCTAGATAGTGTTTACATTTATTGTTCTTTTTAAGTGAATTGTTTTTATCATTGTTTTTGTTCTCTGATAATACATTAATTTAAATCCAAAAATGTTTGATAAACATTTAAACTGCTATAGTAAACTGTCATTTTATGGTTATTACTGTCATAAAATAGCCATTTTTATACAGATAATGAATAAAATAAATGCAGTAGAATATTGCTTTTTCAATAATAGTGTTGCCACCTCTTCAAAATTGCTGACCAGGACGGCAGGTCAGGTTTGTTCAAACAGAAGTTCCTGACGCATGCGCAATGTCATTTTACAATGCAAAGAATAACGTGCATGCCGGTTCCAAATCAGTTACAGTTAGGGACTAGGGACTTGTGTAGGAGTAACGTAAGTAACCCTAAATTAAGAAAGAACAGGTACAGATGACTTAGCTCTATTGAATATTGGAGATGGAGATGTGTACAATCGTACATGCAAAAAAAAAAAAAAAAAGTTGACAGGTTGCACATCACACATCAGCATAAACAGACTAACATGGCAGAATAGCACATGAGTTTCAGTGAGTGTGAGTTCTTTCGCTGTTAAAATAGTGTAAATTTGTAAAAAATATTTGCAAGGACTTTGTCTCATCGTAATTTCAGAATTTCTACGAAATTCCCGGACAAAATTAATAGTTCACCCAGACAGTGAGTCCAGGTAGTATAATAAATTTTGCTGTTGTCATTTATTATATTACTAGTTCTTATAGGTTATAGATATGCTGATTCTTACTGTTACTCTATACTGGTATGTTATGTATGTTTAGCATCTTTTTATTTCAAGTGAATCTTTATTAATTCTGTTTAAACGATTCTTCTTAGATTGTAATTGTACAAGTGGAGTCAAAAAGCCAGAAGCCCTTTGATCACTTTTTATGGAGTCCGTTTTGCACCCATAAGAAATTTATTTAGAGATCTGATCTCTCTAAAAAAACAGATAACAGTTATGTTGATGTCTTCCAGCTCTCCTTTAGAATGAAAACTGACAGACATCGCCATAGCTCAAAAAAAGATCCCCAGTTGAACCAGTCTGTTTGAACAGAGATTTGCACACATACAGGTTTCAGTTACCATAAATGTTCACTAAAGCCTATCACAATACCAACCAGGAAGTGAACATAATCCTTGCCAAAAAACCAAAAAATTCATGGTTTACACAGAAGACACACTAGGCAAAAATGCTTTACTTTGTTTTAAACCAGTCATACCTCTATACTCTTCCACTGTATCAAATAAATAGAAATAGTATAGATTTTAGCAATTCTATAAAAAATATTAAAAGAAATAGTAAGACCTGATTCAAGCTCAATAAAAGGATAAGAAGCACCCAGCTTGGCCACTAAATAAAAACTTATATTGCTGGCAATTCTCTCATGCCCTGATACCATGAGTAAAATTATTGCAAGTAGACAAATTGAGAGAGAGAGAGAGAAAGGACTTCCAAGAAGTACTGAAGTGAACTGGCAAGAGTCGAGTGCCTCCAACACACGATGTAGATAGTTTTCTTGAAAAGACATTTACTTAAAAAGTCTTTTTTATTTCTAGTTTACTTTTTAAAGAAAGAAAATAGTACACTTTAATTTACTAGGATAATTTAACATAATCAAAATTATAATATATTAACAATGACACAAATAAATTTGAAAATGTTTCAGTGGAGTAAACAATAAATATAACAGAGAAAAACATCTAAATGCATTAACATTTTTGGATATTTCTTTGAATCTTCATAAATAGGTTAAGAACACAAAACATTTTTTAAAAGATAAAAGTCAAAACAATATCAAAAAGAACAAATTCAAATGATTAATCCAGAATTAAGATAATTATGATTATATTTACAGTACAGTGAATCACAGGGATGTTCATGTAGCATAAATTAATAAACAGCAATGAAAAAGTATTTTTGTTTTTTATTTAATATAAAATGCTTAATATTTTAAGATATTTAATTAGTAGTTTTCTAATTAACAAACAACTGGATTTTATTATATTGTGGAATAAAATAAATAGCATCAAATTGCACTAAAGGGAAATTTCACATCACATAGATGTCCATTCATTTAAATTGATATATAAAATAAATTTTAAAAAATATATAAATTTAGAAGTTTTGATATTTTGTTGGATATCCCTCAAATTTGAACATCTTTCAATCATTTTTGTACAGATGAAACAAGTTTTTTACATAAGTCTTGGCTTATATTTTTCCATTCTGCAGTAAGTTTTTCTTTCAATATATTTGCATTACTAATTTTGTATTTTCACATGCATGACTCCAGTACATACCATAAATATTCAACAAAATAAATTTGTGATGATTGTGCAGATATATCTAGTACATTTGGACAATTATAATCTAGCCACAAATAAACATTAAGTGCCTTGTGTTTGAATCATTGTCCTGATAAAATTTTAAACTGTTTAAAATGCCCATATTTGCTATGTGTGCTTTCAAGTTTCAATCAAAATACTTAAATACAAGTGTTGATCCATATTTAAATCTAAGTACTAACTTTCCAATACCTTATGCATTCATGTATTTCCAGATCATAACAGAACCTTCTCTATGCTTAACTGTTAGTAGAATATTTTTGCTTGGCATTTTATTTGGTTTCCTTTGTACTATCTTCTATTATCTGAACCAAATAGATTGAACATAAATTGCACTTTCTGAAAGTTTGAACTGATATCTATGTTCAACAAAGTCAACCTAAGTACTTAGGTATAGTATATTTAGATTGACTTTGTTGAATGTAGATTGAACTTGCTTTCGCTACAAAAAAGAAATAAATCTGAAAGCTATTTTCCTTTATTAAGTAACTTTGAGCAAAAGTAACTCTCTTCAGGTGATCACATTTATTTACATCTGGTTTTTTTCTAGCTATTCTTCCATGGATATAATACTTTCTCAATACTCTATGAATCATCTCTAGACTAACTAACTATATAGTTTGTATCTGATGCAAAACAGCCAATTTGGGAGCACCAAGTTTAAGATCCTTCTTAATCTCTCTAATAATTCAGCTTTTGTTGTAGTCATTAAATAAGAATTTAAAGGTGTCTATGTGACAAAACTTTAATGTCTATATCTAGTGATATTCTAAAGCATCATCATTTGGATAGTGCCTAGACGTGTGTCTCTAGACTAATTGCATGATGCCCAGCAATGAATATTTGAAAACTCTCTAAAAATATTCCTTTCTTTGCATTCCATTTTGGAACACATTAAGCTGAAGATGATCTATGTAGATTGAAAGCATTTGTATTTTATCTGTATTAAATTATGTTGGAATTTCATTTA